CAGAAAGACTTCTTAACTTCTTAGTATCAATGAGATTCACCTCTGGTACGAGTAGACTAAGTTGACTGAGACGACTACCGCTAAGACTTCGCTTCAGTGCCAACTGATCAAGCACGTCGTCAGTACAGCTGAGATTCTGATCTGACTTCGACTTTTGCCGACACAGCTGGTCAATTGATGGTGACGACTTTACCATTGACCTGTAAAGTGCATAGGATACCTCGGAGCACCCCTCTTTGTGGGCGGAATCACATCAGTGCCAACGTACTTGTCAGAGATGGGTGACGTGATACTATTGCTACTGCTCTCATCGCTTAGATCTTGAACTTTGTTTCCCAGTTGGTGGATCTTTGTTGACCGGAATTCGTTGCATAATCAATCGAATCACCTTCTTTGCAATGCCTGAACATTAAGAGTATAGACAAGTGGGAACTACTTATAGTCAGCTGGGGTGCAATCAAAAAAGTTTTCTGAAAATGTTTTCTATTGAGAGAAAATGACCGATCAATAAGCTTACCCTCTTCTTTCTCGTCTAACTTCACAGTGTCAGGAATGGCACAGATCGGATCGCATGGAGAGACTGGTGTCTTCAATTCTCCTGGTTTTCTCTTGCCCTTCAACTTATCGCGAAGGCGAAGGAATAAGCGCACCCGTTCGACCTGAATTTGAACATTTGAGGGAATTCCTGAGAAGCAATCAGCTGAATGGTTTCTTCCAATGCTACGCAGGATGAGGGACGGTTGAACTAGTGTCACTGGGAACCACCACACAGTACATAACAAAGCGAAAGAACCTGTTGAAGTCGTGTAAGCTTCTCCAACTCCCACTGATGCTCGAAGATGAGCGAATCTCCTCGCGGGCGCCACTGGCCGAGATTTTCCTCGCCACGGACGTACGCCGACGACGTGTCAAGCACTCGTCGTTGTCGACGAATCGCTCCTGAACAGACTTCAGATGATTGAAATGCGTTTTACTTTGCTTGTATCTCTGAGGAAAAGGGTAAGAATTCCATCATGTTAGAGCAGAAGCTGAATGAAAAGAGACAATGGCGATTGGCGTAGATGGAAATAAGTTGAAATAGCCAAGGGGAGTCAATTCTCATTCGGACAAGTGCGAGCTCAAGAAGCTGCGAAAAGGTGGCAGTAGCAACATTAACAACTAAAGGAAACAGACAAATGAATGGTTATCCACGGCGAATCTTCGTGTGCATTGCGCTGTTTGAGCAGAGAGAAAGATAGAGACAGGCAGTTGCTCAAGGACGGCAGCGTAACGAGACACACAGAAGCATTTTAGTGGCGTACCGGGACTACCTGAGTCGGTCGCGTCTTTCATGCATAACTGGTATACTCCTGGCACTCGGTTCATCTCCGGCGACTTCGAAATGCCGCCAATCAGAGAACGACAGAATCTGTAACATGGACATTTAGATTAAGTGTAAACAGGAAGAACTGTTATGAAATGCGTTTTCTGCTTCTCTGGGACTGGACTTTTTCCAGTCCCTTCTAGATTTAGGCCCTTTCCGTTTCTCGTAACTTCCGTGTTCAGATGCTATAATACTCAGGAGCAAGGTGTGGATATTAATGCACTGTTCACAAGAATTAAAGATCATCCCGCGACCTGTGGATAGTGGCGTTCAGCTGCGAACTTACAGTAGCTAAGTGACTTTACAGAAAAGAAAGCGCAAAAAAAAGTTGTGCTAAACACCCCAAGTTAGGACTCCTGGCAGACGCACTGTATGAGTTTCCGGACATGCTCAAACCAACAATGCGGTGTGAAAGCTGGACTTGTTACAGGAAATAGCAGTCGAGATTCAGTGGGAGGTACAATCAGCGTCAGATCTGTCGCGTATGAGGGCCGCAGCGTCCTCGATATTTACTTGAATCCGCGAAAGTGAGACAATCTCAGAGCTGCGCGCCAGCCTACTCGGACAAGACGGACGCCTACGAATAAGGTAAAGGCTGGGACTGACTTCAAGGCTAGAAAATCTCAAGGCGTCACTTGACCCGGTCCGCGATCGCAGAGTCTGACAACATTTAAAACTTGCATTTTAGCAAGCAACATGCGGCAAGCTTAAGTGTTAGGACTACACCCATGCCGCCCTGATGATGTCGTTGTGCTCCCCAGCCCTTCGTTTTCTGGTCTCCCTTCCCGAGCTTTTCAGATCGGCATTGCTTTTTGAAAGCGCAGTTCATAAGTACCTTATCTCGTTTACCATGAGCAACTTCAAGAGTGAGGACTCTAAGATGGTGGTTCCGATGTTTTCTTTTTCACAAGTAGGTGAACCAGCAAATTCACACGCCTCTTCTTAAAGTAATTACCCACGAGTTACGACCATGGAAACTTCGATAAAGATGTGAGAAAAGCCCTGGAACGTTGCTTTTAACGTCTCTCCTCTCATCCCAACGGGTGCTCGGTTTGACTTTCAATCTAAGCAACTCAGGCTAGTCGGCTAACGTTAGCTTTCGGAGTTTAAAGCTCAAAAGTTGAAGCTTAAAAGTATGAAAAGTTCAAAAACTAGAGAAGGAAGCATGGTCTATCTATGAAGTGGTCTCTCACCTGCTCGCAGCCGAAATTTTTGAGTCTCTGGCGTAAATTAGCACACAAATGTCCTTCGTAATGACGGCCGGCTGAGCACAACCTTCCAACTCCATGTAGGCCGACAATGTCATGTAGATCTGAACGAATGTCATTAGAAAACTTTGCCTGTACCCATTGTTTCAGCCAAGGAGATTAAAGGACGTTTCGAGTATTGGGGCGGTAAAAATGGAAGACAATAACCATAAAAGGCCATGGACCTCAAAATGAACGGATGGATGGGAAATTCAATTTTTAACCAGATGTTCATCAGAGTTTCCTGCAAGAACGCATCATCGCGTATGTACCCATTATAAGCCAGGAAATCCAGGTACCATGACACGCCCCAGCATCCGCTGCAAAATGAAAGAACAAAGCGAGCTGCGCAGTCAGCGCATGTACAGTCGCATGTCCAGTACAGTGTACAGCGCATGTCAAACGGTAAGAATATAATAGACGAGAGTATGTAACAAGCACTAACCTGATCACCGTAATTGGACACCCGATTTAGA